AGCCATTTAGCTGGCCGGGCACGTTTTGCATTTAGCGCGTAAAATAAATTTGCACAATTTGTGACAAGAGTGCGAGCAAAACTAAAGAAGGGGTTCTTGAAGACCAGTAGAAAGGGGGAGGAGAGCAAATTGACAAGGCAAATGCACTGTGGTAGTCATATACTAAAGAAAGCTATAAAAATATAAATAGTAATAAATAAACTATATTTTATGAAGCAATTTATTTTATGATTAATTTCAAGTAAGTTTTTTATTATTATAATCGTATCATTAGTATTCTTCCAATACCCCATTAGTGTGTTTATGAGTTACTAGAATAATACTAATTGAGTGTTATTAAACATAAATATCTTATTATTTTAGTCTATCTTTTCAGTTATGATAGAAATATAACATTTAAGAAAACTTCATTTTTTAAACATCCATTTATTAATGAAATTAATGGGAAAATGTAATGTTTTCTGAAATTTTATATTATTATTTATATTTTTATATTGTTATATATTATAAAATTTAATAAATTCTAACCATCTTATAAAAAAAATAAAAATGTACCCAGTTTGTATGAAGAAGTAGGACTTCCTGATTACAAAACCATGCTGCTAATCCCCAGTTATGAATACATTTCGAGCCACTGTGCAGTGTCTTTGTCCCAAGGAGGCGTCACAGTGGGCAGGCTGGCCCCTGTGGGTCGGCTAATTGTCATGCCATGCGAGACTTCTCTCGAGCGGTTGTCTTGGGGACCGCTACTGATTTTCCTCTTATTTGCGGCTCTGCACTCGGCCCGTCCATCAATTGACTTTATCTATTTGAACTCGCATGTTAAAAATATCAATTTGTTGTCTGCCCAGACTTTTGACTTTGCCCGTTTCTGACAGACACTTGGGCCTTTGCGTTTGCTGGCCTGGCCGATTCTCTTTCAGCCTGGTCTATACTCGTACAGCAGAATCGCAGCTTTGCGTTTTTGGTGTGATTTATGGCCACTCGGTGGCATAAATGTAGGTGCGGCCTCCTGCCACATAAATCATTGTTTAACTCTGCAATGCAATTTTGCGCAAAATGCTCACTTTGCTCTTGGAACCGAGGGCTTAGAGGTTTAGGATAGTGTTTGATAATCGCTTGAACTAAAGATTAAATTTGGGATTGAAATAGGGAAAGCATCTCTGAACTAAATTAGATTTTCAAACTCATTCATTCATTTAAGTTAGATTTTTATACAACACAGTTTCTTTTTTAAAGATCTTTAATGAATATTTTCTTCAACTTTAATTAGTAATGATTTATACATAAAATCTTTCAAATCATTCAAACAGCGGAAGAGCACATTTTGTCATTCCCTTAACCCACTTAATCTGTTGTCTTTAGAAACTCTACAGCCATTTCCCATATCCCGACACCTGTTATACTTTTACCCTCCCTTGATCCTTTAGCAAGTCATTCGGCCATACGGAATCACTTAATTTGCTAAGGTACCCCAATAGTCCTGTGCTTCAGATCAATTATGAAACTATAAGGGAAAAGAGACCAATCCCAGATATAAGTGTGCCACTTGTGAAGGCAAGGGAAACCCTAGTAAATTATAAGGTTAGTAAAAATCTATATAGGGCTAACCCCGAATGACCACTCCCACATGAATAATTCATCGAGTCAACCGAGTGGCTGTGGCCGCATTAATGAGTAACGCTTCTTATTTACCATGATGCCGCAGAAAAAATCAGAAACAGAATTAAGAAATATTCAGCCAGACAAGTTTAATTAGAGAGAGAACGAAATTGTCTTATCATAATCATTCCAGCGAGGAAATTCTCTGATTTTTGCACACAGGGACTGACTGGAAAATTGTGTTTAGTCACTCCATGCACATCAATCATGGTCAAAGTGCCTCAGACAGTTGAGTTAATGGCCAAGGGATCCTGGCCATAATGTGCTGGGTGTTTGCGTGTCCTCGGACTTTCAGTTGGACAAGTGCATGATTAATTATTTTATTATCTATAAATTGGTTGTGTCCCCTTGGAGCCATGATGGTGGACCTTTTTCCGGTCTTTTCTTTTACCTTTGCATACTTTGAGGCTTGTTTAAATTCCTCGCTTTTCTTTGTGGCTTTAAAAGGTTTTCTCTGCACTAGGAAAATCCATCAGCCATTAAGCCCGCTAAAAGCTCGAAGTCCATCTGTTTTTTTTGGGAAACAAGCCTCTTCAAGCTGAAGTGCTGAGCGGATTTTCAGCTCCGTATTTATGTTTCCTTTTTGTGTGCGAAAACATTCAAGTGGAAAATCTGTTGAAATTCTTTCGCTTTGCCCATTAAAAATCTGTCAATTTTTTATTGTTCAGATTATCGGACATATGTATATATTCTGGCAAAACTCTGCCCAGATTTGGGTCACCAAATGTTCTCGTTTAATTAGCAAAATTTAATGACTTTGCTTGGGAGTGGGAAGCAAATGTAATTGAAATATATCGATGACAGCTTTAATAGCACAATGAGATAGAAATGGAAGTTTCCTTTGCTAGAAAACTGAATAAGTGAAGAACGCTTTTAAAGTTTAAGTAGCTTAATAAATTCAGAACGTGAGAAACTTTCTTCAACACCAAACCAATTTAAACCAATTGAGAGATACCTCATTTAAGTTTGAAATAGTTCAGAACCTAATTTCTTGGCTCGATTTCGGATATCATTTCCACTGCGGGGCGTCGATCTCCTCTTCCAATTAGCGGTTAAGATCATAAACCCAAGCCAGCAACTAACTCAATCATTACGCAATTAAGCAACGACCCAAAACACAAGCATTTCCACACAGATTTATGGCTATATCCATATCGAACGGGGGGCACATTAAATCACGCGACCCATTAATAAAATTGTTCCAGACCCCGACGCCTTATATAAGTGTATAACTTTTAGAGGGGGTCCGAAACAGAAGTCTCAAATATTTAATCATTGTCGCTGGGCTATCATTCTTGGGCCTTGGGATAGATGCCATAATTCTGTTGAAGACAATTTGTACAAGTTGATTTTATTTTTTGAAAGGCAGCTGTGCTCCGGTTTCGAATATTCAAACAGTTTTATGACCCTGCTTTGGCTGCCATTAAACCGATTGTGTAAATTCTGGAAATAATCAAATCTCAAATAAAAAGCATAGAGATCACACTCAAAGTTCTCGTTGAAGTCATAAAAATTGCTGAGTCTAAATGGTAGAAACTCTTGGGGATATAAATTATTTTTATTTATCATTTCTCTGTAAGTGATTATCTTGTTGAGAGAAATAATTAAGATTATTAACGACCTTAAGATACATTTAAAAATATTCACAGCTTATAAATAATAATCTTACCAACTAAATTCAACATTCATTTAAACAAATCATTTTCCTATTTTTTAAGCTGTCCAGTTCCTTATCTTAACCTTAATGTTTCTAAATCCTTTTTCAAAAACTGCAACCATTAACTAATGAGGTTCATTTGCATTTGACGAATTCACGCCTTCAAAATCGAAGTAAATAGAAGCACTTTCAGCATTGATCAATCATTGATCGACAATCAGCCCACACAGTTTTCCGCTTCGCTCTATGCAAATCGCTGTGTGGGATTTGAGCAAAAAAATCCAATTAACACTTTTAGAACGTGCCAAAAACTTTATTGCGCAAAACTTGATTTATGCGAGACCGAGGGGAGTTGGTAGGCAAATCGATTGGTAGCCGCAAAGTCTGAGCCAGTTTAGTTGAGCAAATGCAAGCCCTCACGAACACCCACGAATCTCAAGAACCCACAAAATCAATCAACCTCGATTACTTATTACAGTGACTATTACAGATAAAAATTAAGATTTTTATTTGTATTTATGATAAGTCAATCATTACCATTAACATTTTCAGTGTGAAGTGTTGACAATTCTCTAAGTCACCATACTTATTGTAAGGTTAATGATAAGCTAATTACCTTAGCAAACTTAAAGTTGGTCTTAAGCTAAAAATCTTTCGCAATTTTTCCATTTAAAACATAAATTTATCTTAAAATTAAGACCAGAAAGCGGATTAAAGTTTTTTATTATTTATTTGACGTCTAATAAGTTCAGGTTGCGCAGGCTAAGCCTCATGCCGAACGTGTTATCGGTAAATCAATTATTTAATTCAACTTTTATCGGTAACAATTTGTAATTTACATCAGCAATCCCACTTAATTGTGCCTCACTGTACTGCATTAAACTGCGTATCTTATTGAAGTTCTTCGTTCATAACAATGAATTGCTGCGATTTAATCAATTGTGGCAGGTGTTTTTTTTTGTTTGTTTTCGTTTTCATGTTGCTGCCACAAAAAACTGCACGCAGCCAGGCGAACGAAACTGGTTGGCTCCGACTCCAAAAACCACTTTGAATCTTTTTTCCAAAGTCTTGTTTGATTTGCTCAAATTAGCGCATGGTGAGCCGAAAACCTGCTGGCGTCCCCCACACACAAAAAACAGAAAAACTGGCAACATGTGGCACGTTTCCTTGGCCAGGCAATTGAAATTGAAAACTTGGCAGCAAATTGTTGGCACTTAATTGAGTAACTCCGATCGATCTCGATGTGCTTTGCATAAATTGAAAGGGGCCTTTGGAAAGAGCATTCTGGGAGTGGGTGCGTGATATAGGTGTCATATGGAGTCGCTTGTCAGTTGGCTTCGATCGTGTCTCCGCATCGAGGTGCATTGTTTACGATCTGCATGGGGTCCACCTGGACGGACACCTTACCGCAACTCTGGCCAGGTGACCACAGCGGAAAATTGTTGATCTTTTGTGGCTGATTTTCTGACACAATTGGGTCATAGTTCTTAAGGTCATGCAGGTGGTGGACTTTGCTATCGACAATTGAATTACAATTTTGTTTAATAATTCAAAAAGAAATATCTCTGATTTCACACATTCATCGCAGCAGGAGGGTCTCTTTAGGATTTTATAATAAAAGTTGATTTAGGTTTTCCTTCACAAGAAATAATCACGAATATACAAAATGGCAAACCAACTCTTAGCTTTCAAAGACATTTATTTAACTATAAGACGTTCAACATGGGATAATACAAAATAACCTAATCTATTTAATAAGCATTCTTAAAAGGTCTCCCGTCTGAGACAATTCTCAACACAATTCCCACAACATCAACTTATGATATTAATCCATAAACCAGATATCTCCCCAAACCACTCTAACCTTGCCGATCCTCAATTTTGACTTCCACTATCAGACCGCCAACATTTTTGCCATCACTGAAGAATGTGATGATGGCCTTGACGATTCCTCGAGGTACCTGCGATGGCCAATCCTCCGTGTTGAAAAGGACACTTTTGATATAGAATTCACCTTCAGGAACTGGACAAAAGTCATCATCGACCAATGGGAAATTGGTGGTCTCTCCAGTTTTCACCGAAGGCTGCACGAACTGCACATAGAACTTCTTGAAGCACTCGCAAATGCTAGTTTGAGGCACATCCATGGCCATTCTCTTGAACTCTCCATCGCCATTGGGACTCGAATAGAGTTCCACGGAAACCTTGAAGTCATCATTGTTCATCTCGCCAAGGAACTTGAAGGACCCGTTGAGAGCTCTCTCCCGACCAACAGTTTTCAGATTATCAAAGAACACCAAAGTCTCGGAGTCGCCCTCGAAGGGTTCCAGTCTCTCGTTGGTGACCTCATAGGATTGCTCGCACTTTTGAATGGGTGTTTAATAGCTGTTAATAAAATGTACTAAAAATATTCCATATTCACCTTTATTATCTGCAGCAAGTGGAAGAGTAAAACTATCGCAGCCCACTTCATTTTGTACTGTCTGTTGCATTGCCTGAGTTTATCTTATTTATTAATTTTTTTGGCTTGCTTCTGGCACGCTAACTTCGTGTTTGATATGTTTTAATACTAATTAACGTTCTTGCTTTGATGTTCCATCAACAACAATGTATCAAGTTATCTTAATCTGTTGATATTAACAAGCTTTCTGTCAATGCTGCTTAGTTTTAATTATTTTAATTCTAGGCGACATGATTTATGGCTAAAAATATATGGAAAGGTTGTTGTTTTATGGAGCAACCACATTTTAAATGAGAGAAAACATATTTTTAGCCAGTTAATACACATTTTACAAATCGGTTAAATAACCTTTTTCCATGGAAGGTCGTTACGTAGCACGCTAAGCGGAAAAATTCAGAACTTCAAGGCTTATACTATATTGAAAATCAGTTCTAACCAAACTAAAACTAATACTTTCTTAAAAAACTAAAATCAAATTGTAATTTTATTAATTTCCCCTCCAATTTGTAACACCTTTTGAAGCTCCAACACCCCGCCAAACAGCTTGTTGAAAATCCAACTAAAATAATTCAATTTGTTGGAACCGCCACGAATTCACCTTCCCCCGCCAGATGGCGGCCCCGAAAATTCCGCCGAAGTCCCATCAACAGATCATCAAAATTTTGGGGAAAATCCCCCCAAAAAAAGAGCGATAATAAAGCATTAATTGAAAAGTTATAAACAAAAGACAGCAGCGACTCGGGAACGTGAAGACAAAAGACATGAAATACGAAACAACTAAGACAAAAAGTGCGCAATGCCAGAAAAACTAAACTCAGCAGGAGATATTTTACATTTTCACGGATGGATTTCCCCAGAAAGTGTGTGCCAGAGCAGAGGGCGCGATAGTTTATATTTATAACAAATTCATTCAAGATCCAATGGGGAAAAGCGGCCTCGTTTCAGGGGGACACCACGCGCCCGCGCCTGCCACAAGCTATAAATAGGAAAAGTCAAATGAGAGGGGATTTTCCGAAAAATGAAAACGTCACTTCAACTTGGCATTGCCCGCTTTTCGATGGGGGCTTGCCATGGGTCTATCCACCCATTTCTCCCCCAAAAAAAGGGAAATGCATGAACTAAATGTGGAGAACTTGAAGTACCCTGTGATATGCAATGATCTTCTAAACTAGGGATGATATTCTAGATAACAATTCTTAAGTATTTCTCGAATTAAAGATAAAGTTTTTCTAAAGTTTTCAAGATGTTTAGATATATATACCCTTACAAGGAAGTGGTATCTAAAGGCAGTGCCATCTGCAAGCCGCAAACAATTCCAGGCATTTTCCAAGTAATATGCAACACATGTTTGCTTGGCTCGTGGGGGGAAAGTGTGCTCCTGCGCCTGCGCCCCGTGCTACAAATGGTAAAACGGGAAACTGCCAAGGAGTCGACAGTTCTTAGTTTTCCCTTTTGTCAAATGGAGCACCACACGAAAGTAACGTCAAGTGACAGTTCTCTGTCCTCAGCGAGCCATGACATTAGATGATGCTTTGACTCGGATCAGCACCCCAAAAACCCCAAAGGAGACTATCGGAACAAGGGGAGCCCAAAGATTCCATCTTTCTCCCTGATCCGGCAGGATTGTCAATCAAAAATATTAGGAGATATGGGGATTTATTAGGGGAAATATGAATATATATAGATGTTAGGAGGTACAGCAAGGTAACGTTTAAGATTACTATTAAATAGTTGCATTTTATGTTTGATTTTAAGTCATGAATTCTATTAAAATTTAGACCTCTTAACAATGACAAAGTACAGCAAAAAATACAGAATTTACTACAAAATACAAAACTTAAAATAAAACTAAATAAGATATAACATATAAAATTGACTTATCAATATCAATTACCGATTAATATCACACTGAGCTGAGAACGCAATTATCCATAACATTAACATTGACTGTCCAACTTATAGCCAAAGAAATGACGAAATACCAAAAACAACGAGTCAAGAAACCATTAAACTGACCACAAACTTAGCATATTCCGAGGCTTTCCTATCCCAGATTAATGATCAGTCTGCTGGCCAAGAGTTCGCCAAGTGGTCGAGCAGGTGACAGGCATTAGCATAAATCGCAGAAATCTCAGAAATCGCTGAAATCGAAGCGAGCTGGGCAGGTCGGTCAACCATTAATGAACACCTACACGACGTCGCTCTGGGATCTGGACCTGGGCAGCGATCTTAGCAGTATAAATCAAACATTTAATTACAGTGTAATTAATGTAACGTATTTCAATTAATTAAATGCACTTTGATTGGCGTCTTTGCCCAGACGCAGCTCAGCCAAGAAACCAACTATCAAACATCGCCCAGGCACAAACCAAAGCTGAAATCGAGAAAATTCAGTGAAAAACAAAAACATTACGAAACCTGAATTTTTGCGCGCCAAAAAATCGCTAAGGAAAATACAATATAAGCTTGAAGATTTAGTTTTTGTTGGCTGTACTTGGAATACGCTTTAAAAACCATAAACCCCTTCCTATTTTCTCTTCCAAGCTTATTATTAGATAAAAATGTAAAGTTCCCAAAGAAACTTTAACTCTTGTCATAGTTAAATTTTTAAAGATTCTTCGGGTTTTCTTATTAAAGATTGTTTTCAAATATCCCTATTTCAAGCATATCGATTTATAGTTTTCAAAATCTTTTAGAAAACCAAAGAAAACTTAAATTTTCGTGAAAACGCAGAGTATCTTAAACAGCTGGGCATGTCGGTGTAGCAGGTGATAAGGCGGCAGTGCCAACTGGAACCGCATCCAACGGCGTCATAAACCAGCTGCAACTGCTGCTGGAGGATCGCAAGGGGCGGAGGGCGTGGCGTGGGCGATGGAAAACTCAATTGCGTCGTTGCGAAAATTAACTGCAATATGCATAGAGCCAAAGAGGCCGAGAGTCGGAGAGGCACTCGTGGCTTTAACAAATGTTAAAGGCTCGCCACAAGGCCTGGCCTGGCTTTATTTTTTGTGTTTTGACTGCACAGAAATAAATATTTTTCCTTCACTTACGGTAGTATACATAACTTTTTTAAATAGTCTTTTAAAGATAACATTATTATTATCTCTTCTTACTTCTCATCTCTTCTTACATTTCATCTCTTCTTACGGCTTAACTTAAAGTCATTTTGAAAACCTGTGGTCAAGTCAAAATGAATCCTTACAGCCCTTTCTTCTTAAATATATAATTATATATTTATTAACATTAAAATATTATAATTTCCCACTATTTTTCTCAGTGTACAACTACCTCTCAGCTTGGCTTCCTACGTTGCAGGCCAAGTCGAGAAGGCGTCGCGGCTTCCGTGGCAGGTTACAACGAATTTGCTGCTGCTGTTGTTGGTTTGGCCTAATGCGAAAGTTGTTGCCCTTGTGTTAGTGTGCTGTAACTGTGTTCGTGCCACAAGTGGCAGTGCCAAACTACACTAGACAACAAGAAAATTCAATTTGAATTTCTAAATATTTTTAATTATTTCGTGTTTGAAATCATTTGTTGGTTTCCACTTTTTAAATGTGTTTAAACTAGTAAACTTTTGATAAGATCTTATAAGTCAATCTCTTACAAAAAGACCAATCAACAAATTATTAAAAATTTAGTAATATTTTTAAGAATTAGAGTATTTTAGCTCCTTAAATCATATTTATAATAAAAAATCTTTAAAAAATTTGATTTTTGTTGGTTAACGTTGTTCCTCGACCACGTCACGCGTCAAAGTTTGTACGTGTTGTTTCGTTTGTTGGTCAAGTGAGCAACAACAACATTGACAATAACAAATGCAACACGCGCTTAATTTTTATTAGACCTCATGTGGCGCGCAGTGCGCATGCGCAGCACCGAATAACCGTTGGACATGGACATACGGATACGTAGATAGGTTTTTTGGGGCCAGCAATTGGCATAATTGACTGGCCGGTCCGTCTGGTCAGCTACGTGAGGTGGGAGAACTGTTTTCGGTTACCATATTGTCTTGCCCCGAAGTCCCCTTGCCAGTCAATTGATTTATGTCCATCATTAATAACAATCACAAGAGGGGTACAAGACAAATGTAAGGCAAGCCAGCTGAGTGACAAGGAGGTTGGACCTTGGGCTACTCCCACACTGGATCTGCATTTCAAAACTGGGATACGTAGTTGGAGTTGGTTCCTAAATATTGGTTTATTTTTTAGGAGAGCAGGTGGATGTGGTAAACTATATATCAGTTTATGGTTACTCGCCATGGTGATTGCTTTGAATAAATTATATTCTTTATGTTCATTGTTATGTTATTACTATTCTATTGCATTATTTAAATTTATTTTAAAAACCTGCTAAAGGAACATGTTTATGGCGAGCCCGTAGGCCATCATTCAGCTATAATGTCGCTTTTAATAAAAATTCAATTAGCGAATGAATATTCATAATTAAATATTGTAAATAAATATTGTCGTGAAAAGATCTTTGGGGGTAGCAGACTTATATAGCAGGATGTTCATGTTATATACCAGGAGATAGTCACAAAAGCTCAGTTTAGTTTACAATTAGAAACATAGAAACTCTATTAATGATTTACAATTGATCTAAAATGTCTATCATTGGGTATTATATTTTAGAAAACTAAACATGCTACTTTATAGTGTATGCAGACATGCATTCCATCAACATGCTCAAAGTTTCATAAAGTATCTTTGTATCTCAAATCATACACTCGAATATCGTTCCTCATTGTATTTTGCAATTATCAGCAATAAATTGGTTTACGCCGGCAGCTTCAGATATCCAACCCATACAGATTTTATGGCCCCTCGTCGTCTATATTTAGAAGCCGCCACAATGAAGAGCCCAGCAGAATAAAAAAGCGAATCCAAGTCGAACTAATTGCCATGTCCACAATGCTGGTGCTTATCCTTGATCATCAATGGTTCATTAACTCCGCCAGAAGAAGACAACAATGCCGTGGAGCGTATTTAATACAATTAACTGGCTACGTTATGAGA